ATATTTCTCATTTTTATCAAATTCTCGATAGTTAGATGGTGGCAAGTCCAAATATAATGACTCGCCAGTTCGAAAAATCATCTGAGGGATTAATTTATAAATATCAATCTTTCAAGTGGTCTATTTGTAATTACCCCACAAAGTACAAAGTTTAGCAAATCAGTCATGGATAAGGTTGAGATGGCTAGAAAATTATGTATTTAATGCTAAATATCCAAATAAATGAAAATAATTTATATAATTTGAATTCAGACTATATTGAATTCAGTCAAGTATTGATGTTTGAATCTAAACTGGTGATATTTATTGCATGTTAATATTTTACATTATGCAAAAAAAGGTTTCTCATATAATTACATCATTATTATTATATCATTTAAATAACTTCATGATTTGATCACATGGTCATCATCATGGTTCCACCATGTGTACAATCCAAATTAAATCTACACACACACCCCTCAATTCTTATGTATTTACATATCTAACATTTAAACTTTAATGTTTTACATGCATACCATCATACCTATGCATGAAAAGCTGAATTTCACTTTTTAAAAAGTTATGTACTCATTGCAATCTTATATTAGAAGATGCAAACTTATGTTTGTATGTATGTTTGTATGTATGGATGCATGTATATATATAACATGTATGCATGTATGTATGTATGTATTAAAGCACTACACTCATTCAAGAAGATAGGGCTGTAAATGAGCCGAGCGGCTTGGCTCGTGTTCGGCTCTTTCGAAATAGCTCGTGTTCGAAATCGGCTCGTGAACAGTGTGTTCGTGTTCGACTCGTTAAATATTCGTGTTCGTGTTCTGCTCGTGTTCGGCTCGAAATTGACTCGTTAAACTAAAATTGAGAAAAATAGATGTAAAGTGTGATATTCGAACCTGGATCAAATCTATAAAAAAAAAACACTAATCACATTTCCACATTAGGTGTTATAATTTAAACTTAGACATAAATGAATTTATTTTTTGTTTTAAAAAAAGGCATCACAGAACATGACACTGCAGAGAGAGGAGTGAATGGTCTCAAAAATCATAAGAGAGAAGAGTCGATCCTATGAGTCTATCTAGGCTATGTGCCAGAAGTTCTTGTGTGTCTTTGTGTTGAGGATATAGCCACAATTATAAACTCTCTTTTGCACCGAAACACAGCGGCACTTGCAGTTCTCTATCAAGAACTCTGCAGTGTCTAATCCCCTTCCAGACATGCTTCCACCCCGTGTGCATCTGCCAAATAAAAACAAATTGTTACAAATTTATCCACAAAGTATCAAGATTAGTAATATCATCATTATTTTGGGGGCATTTACGTGCATGCCGCACAATTCTTATGTATTTACATATCTTACACCTATAAACATTTCCACATTTACAAACATAGTGCTCAAATCTTTAATCTCAAATCAAAAATATCACCATTACCACTTTTTAAAATTGAAATACATCTTTTCATGCACAGGTTACGCAAACATGAAATTTTAGGTGTGAGATCTACTTATACATAAGAATTGTGTGCAATGTATGTAGTTTTCCTGCAATTTTCTATTTACTTGAATCATTAATTTTTTGGGGTTTTTACATACACAACCGTATTCAGACGCATATCACTTAAATCTCTAACATCACATCAAAAATATCACCATCGCCGTCTTTTTAATACAGAAATGCATATATTTTCATGCATAGGCTTATGACACCAAAGGCGTTATAAGAGTAAATATCAAACTATGGATATTAGATATGTAAATACAGGCGCACAAACTTTTAGATATGATATTTGCGCAATATAATATTTAGAGAAATAATGACTATATTTAGTCTTGCAGATGAGTACAAGCTGGCAAGGTATTTATATCAAAATAAAAGGGGAGATTGTAACACAGATCTAACCACATATAGAATTGAGCAATGTTGTTTGGTTACATTAAATGGTGTCAGTGTTGAGCCCACACATATATGAAGGCATTACTTTACTCTACGCGTGTATAAAGACTATAACTTATCGGAAATTACATCACTGCATGCAGGCTCAAGTAAAACAAGTTGAAAGTTTGAGAAAAAATTGATATTTGCAGAATTTTTGTATGACTGAATCTGTGTACTCAATTATTTTGATTATCATCATTGTCCTTAAAGTTCTACTAACTGTTTGGGGCAGTTGTAATTATTAAATATACAATCCACGCTGTTCTTTTATTTCTATAAGATCAGGTGTTAAATCTATTTTGAAAAATATTTTAAGCAATTATTATTATTTTTTTTATTTATTTATCTTCTGTCCTTCATTTTAATTAATTTTATCTACCCTTTTTATTGGCTCATTTATATGGTGTGGGGCCGAAGCACTAAAATCTATCCTAACTAATTTTATGTTCAATAGGTGCTACCCCAGAGTCTAAACCATATAATTATGTTTCAAACATTACTTCTATTTTTTTTTCACATAACAATCTTAATATTCTCATTTTACCATAGTGAAGGACTGTATCTAAATAAAACCATGGCATCCATTGCCTTTTTACAATTCTAGTTTTTTAATAGTAATTGTAATTTAGTCACTTCATACATTCACTCTGGTATTGGTAGATCCAAAATATTTAAAATCATCCAGCTTATAAATCACTTCATCTTTTGATGATATTGACATCGTTATCAAATTTTCATTTTAGAATTATTGACACCGTTCTAAAGAGCCCAAAAGGTGTTATGGAAGGAGATTTATCAGGGAGACAATTGTGGAAAGCAATGGAATGATAATATGCGAGTTTGACAGTGTTTGGAAAGAAATTTTTCATTTTTTGTCGAATGAAAACAACAAAGAGAGCTTAAAAAATAATGATGTGCTCCCACATAAGCTATAAACACACCACTTGCAAAAGGAAGATGATGCACTCCTTAAGATAGAAAGCAGATATTGCAGTCTCTAACTAAGAAAAATAAAGCAAAACTCCCAAACCCATAAACTAACAACATAAAAATAATCCCTGAAGCAAAACCCTACTTATAATTAAAAAAAAAAAAAGAAATAAGCCATAAAAGGAAAAAAAAATCCGTTGAATTGGGCAATGGCATGAAATACGCTCGATTTTGGGCTTCCCACAATCACACATTTACAGATTTTGTGGTATAACGGTACCCTGATAATGGGATTCAGTAATTTTGTCATATTTTGCGATCCTAGATCGCAGAATTCTCAAATTGGTAGCTTCCGCATCATTCTCCCCTATCATTATAGAATAAATAATCCCTTCTTTGGCATAATCAAATTGAAGTTGCATCTAGGTTAGTACTCTCACGAACGAAGCCTCTAACAATCAAGTGCGTAACAAATTCTTGCAACTTCTCATACTCAGATGCATCTCATAGGCGAGTTGGTTGGCCAGAAAAAAATCATGAAGCAGGTCTACAACACATGAAATCTCTCTCGACGGTAGCCACCCAGAAGTTAAACTATCAGTCAGGACATCCAACAAAACTCTCAAAAAAGGATTGCCCCTTTTCTGGTATCTGCTCCTCAAACTCACTATCTTCTAAGAGAACTAATGTTAGTCCTGCTGAAGTGTCTCTCATGGGCTCAGCTTTGCATAGCTCTTGGAGGGTTGAATATTAGATAATTAAATTGTGCAGAACAAAAACTCTCAAAAAAGGATTGCCCCTTTTCTGGTATCTGCTCCTCAAACTCACTATCTTCTAAGAGAACTAATGTTAGTCCTGCTGAAGTGTCTCTCATGGGCTCAGCTTTGCATAGCTCTTGGAGGGTTGAATACTAGATAATTAAATTGTGCAGATCATCAACTCAAAACCGTATCAAAAAAACTTCTTAGAATCGTTCGAGCTAATCTAACCATTGAAAGTTCAATCTATCAACTTTTTTAGGAGTAGTATCGCGAGCCTTAAACTAATATTTTATGTTCTTTGATCAGAGATTTTGCGACATCAGCCATAGTAGCTCACCGAGCTCAACTTTCAGTTAGGGGAGTTGAACAAGTCATCCCAAATGAAGAAATACATATTCAGAATTTAATCAAGCATAGGCACAATTCGATGCGTTGATTGTTGATAAGAAAGAGGACTATTCTAGAAAAATTCCAAATAAGGATTAAAATCCACTAAAAATTAATAAATAGACTCGGTTCTATTAATGTGTAGAGTATTCAAAGCTCAGTAACAGAGAATTCTAAAGCTTTGACTACTTCTATAACCCATAGTCAACCATTCTAACATTCCTTGCATCTCGTAGAAAAATTATTCCATGCGGATCGGCGTCCGCACGCAGCTTGCGTGCGGACGCCGATGTTGATAAGAAAGAGGACTATTCTAGAAAAATTCCAAATAAGGATTAAAATCCACTAAAAATTAATAAATAGACTCGGTTCTATTAATGTGTAGAGTATTCAAAGCTCAGTAACAGAGAATTCTAAAGCTTTGACTACTTCTATAACCCATAGTCAACCATTCTAACATTCCTTGCATCTCGTATAGCACTGCAGTTACTTGAGGCCACCCGCACATGCCATCTCACATTTATCATCCTAGCACTGCAGTTACTTAAGGCCACCCGCACATGCCATCTCACATTTATCATCCACGTCACCGTTCATCAGTGACGTAATTATGAAAATGGAATATATTTATCATTTTCTTTTATTATGGGTGGGTTTACGAATCTTTAAAGGCCATTTGAATTTTTTTATAATTTTTTTCATTAGTACTTAGACTTGTGATCAATTTAAAGCCCTTTCTTCTTATAATTTTCTCATTCCTTGAATAAGAAAATCTAAATGATAAGAAAATCACAAATTTCAAATTTTCTCACGAGAATTTCCTTGTTCTTAGAACCAGTGAGAGGGAAAAAGGTCATTGTAGAGCCTTAGACTTTGTCACAATCGATTGATTGAATCTCAACTAGCCTCAATCAAATACGTAAGGGCCGGGTGGATGCTACAAGGCTTCTTGGTTTCTAAAACATCAAGATGGGGAGGAAGGTAATGTTAGATTTCATCTATAAATATCACCCACTCATTTCAATCAATAAGCTTTCATTAAATTACAGAATGTTGTACATATGGGATGATAGAAGAACACGTCGCTAAATCTGAGCATCTCATGTTGTGAAGTGTGACTATTTAAAATCAGATGGGCGCACAAATTGCTAGGTTCATGAGTGGTTTATGACTTACAATGTCTCAAGTGCTTCAACTTAGATAAGATTAGACACTCATTACCAAGGTAGCTATAATGATGGAAAGAGAGGAATATACCTCCAAGAACTTTTAACCCCAACCTATGTAAGATCCTAGTAAGGCCAATGTTGATTCTCGTGAAAAGGAAAGCCGAATTCTACCCTATGCTACTCCATCAGAAGAGTTCTAGGCTAAGAGCGTCAATTGTGCATTTAGTTCCAATAATGATGCTCAGCCTTACAAATATTTTAGGCACCTTAGTTTTGGCCACATCACATCGAATTGCCCCAGTCAACAAGTAATTACGCTCATTGAAAAAATAAATAAGAAAATGGCAAAGGTGAAGATGCACTCAAATCAACAGGACAAAGCTTAGTGCATATTGATGAAAGAAATCTGAACAAATTTAAACGGTATTGAAAATTAACATCAAGAAAGAGTTGGAGTGGATTCGTCACAACATCTTACATGCCTGGTGCTTTGTCCGAAAGGATTACAATGTCATCATCAATGGGTGAAGCTACGGGAAATGTTATTTCCACCAAATTACTAAAGAATTTAAACCTTTCAATGCAAGAGCATCAAAGGCTCTTGCAAATTGTCCTAGTCGTGAAAAGGGGAACGATAAAAATAGTGATGTGTTGCTTAATACGATTTCTCATTGACAGGAAACTTCATTAAGAGATATGATATTATTTTGATAGATATTTTTCATTTGTTGCTTTAAAGACCTTTACAATACGGCAGACGCACTGTTTAATATAAGTGAAAGAATACCTATCACTAAGAGAGAAATCAGGAACGAGTGCTCGTGCCACAAAATAAAGGAGTGGTTCATTATTATGATTAGAATAATGTGTTGTCAAATTGAGGTTTAAGAAAACCCTCTAAACCTCAGAGGCTGTCTATACCTTGATGATTCTTGAAAAGAAACAATATAAATACCAAGTATCAAAGAATTTTCAATTGCTACTACAGCAATACATGGATGTATATGGATGTGTTGACAATCAAAATTCCCACAAATTTGCCTACTATTGGTGATGTATAGCCTATAGTAGACTTCATTCTAAGGGCCATAATCCCTCATCAACCTGTCTATGCCTTGATGATTCTTGAAAAGAACCAATATTAATACCAAGTATCATAGAAGTTTCAATTGCTACTACAGCAATACATGGATGTATATGGATGTGGACAATCAAATCTCCCACAAATTTGCCTACTATTAATGATGTATAGCATATAGTACACCTCATGCAAAGGGCCATAATCCCTCATCGACCTGCATACCGAATATGTACTCATCACCAAATGATTGAAATGAGTGTCAATTTTTTTATGTACCTGTCTAGCTACTTTCAAAGAAAGATGGCATTTTGTGATTTTATATCGACAATCAAACCGTAAACAAAATCAATGTCAAATATTACTTCATAATATAAGGATTGGAAGTTTTTTTTTAACCAACTTCATGAGACAACACTCTTCTCTAAGCTTGATTTGTGTAGCGAGTACCATCACTATAGATGAATAAAAGAAGGCGTTCAATATAAAGAATGTGTATTATAAAAGGATAGGGATGACATTTGGTCACTCCATGCATCTTATGACACTAGTCAATCAATTGATTATTAGCAAGTTTGTGGCAGTGCATTTTGACAACAGCTTAGCATAAGATTATAATCTAAGAGATCATTTGTAAAGCTTCAAACAAATCTTTGAAACATTGTACCAACAAAAATTGTATGCCAATCAAAATAAATGCCATTTTTGGCAGGCAAAATTAAATTTCTTGGATTATTTCTTGTAGGGGAATTGAGATTAAAAAAAATAACACAGACTGTAATTGAGTGGCCTACTCAGCCTATATTTGGATTTATAGAGTTTTCATGGGATTATGAAACATTACTGGTGTTTCATCAACTATTTTAGTTCATATGGTCACTAAAGTGCCAAACCAACTTACAAGCAATGGGATTTACTCTATCCCAAGATGAATTTGCTTACAGGTAATCAACTAACCAAACAATGCACTGAAGTCCTTTCCAAGTAGTACTCTAGCAAAATCTCATTATTGCATTAGAACTTATACCAAGGACCGCTAGCAAAATTTAATAAAGAGGTTGAATGAATAAGCCAACATGATCAAGATATTAAATCAACAAGTATAGAATATGATCATGAAGCAAAATACAAAAAGGAACAACAAGCTAGTAAGTCTCGTACCTTGGCTTCATTTAAATAAATAAACCCTATTGGATTCATTTACAAATAGGATAGTTTTCACAAGGTGCTTTCGCAAATATTAAGCCCAAGATTGAGAGTTCATTCATAATTATAAGTGCACTAGAGAGAAAAACCTTTAACATTTCTATAACTTTTAACATAGCTAGCCTTTCACCTTATTATGAATAAGAAACTACTAAAAACTTCAAGGGAAAGACTTCTCTAACCCAGGGAGCAAAATTATGAGAGTTGGATCAATTTGTAATTTTTATGTTAAGGGGGGTTTGGTGATTTTATTTGATTTCTTAATTTTACAGCTTGGGATTTATTTAAATACACTACCTCCTATAGTGTACTCATTCATTGAATTATATATATATATGTATATATATATATATATATTGAACTTACCAAAGTCAAATAACCAGAACTCGATTGACAAGGGCAACTAGAAAGGCGTCATATGGCTGCAACACGGCTTTTAGGTGCTGATAGTTATTCAAGTAATAGATAAGCTTTCAACCTAAAGGCTTTAGACATGGGAGGCTCTTGCCCTATTGGATTCCAACTATAGATCATTTTTCCGACTACCACTAGGGCTTGGAATGCAAAACATAATCTTTGACCTGTTTGATTCTTGTACAGGCCCTACTTATTGATGTTCTTTTAGTGCTTTCCAAATTTTTAAGCACTCTTATCCTTATTTCTTTTAGTGTCAATCAATCAAATGCTAATCGTCTGAAGATAGCAATTTAGGTAGTTTGTAGTCGACAACGAAGCACAAGCACTTTTAAAAAATTTTAAGCATGTGTTGGATGCAAGAATGCCTTCAACATGTCTATTATGATGTGTTTTTTACTTCTTTTAATCAGATTCATGCATGACCATGGCATGCCCAGAAAGCTCAGATAAGCAATGATGGTGAATTGAGTGTTTTTTTAAAATGATCAAACATTCCAAACTATTTTTTTCTTGATGATGGTGTATGTAATATTGAAGATGACATTAACACTAATCACAATGATCACAATGTATAGTATGTTCCATAGTTTGCAATACATCAATATATTAGTTTTGTTAAAGTTTCGCTCTTCAACTATAATCAAAAACAAAAAAAAGTCATTTTTTCTTAATAAGCCAAAGTTATCAAGCGAAACCAAGGCAAAATCAAATAATAAACTTTGCTAATGGCCATCAAACATATCAACAAGGAAAAACTTAGGTTCACTTTAGAATGTACAATTGACTACTCTGAAATTTTTTCTTAGTATTACAAGAGGATTCTTCGTTTTTTTTTTAAATATTATAAAAATCTTTTAAATTTATATATATATACATACACTTACTAGTTTCTCTAAAATTAGTAGGAACAGTATTTTCCCACCCTCAATTAAAAGACCAGTTTTGCCCCTATAGCACAACAACATTTTGAGTTATAACTCTATTTGGATAGAATAAAATTTGTATTTTTATATAAATACAATATTATTCAAGAATAGAAAGAACTTAAAATATAGATTTCTCATAATTTCTGAGATATATTCTAGGATTTTAATAATCAAAATTATACTTTGTGTAAAGCTCTCATCAAGCCAAATATAATAGAACAGAATCTTATTCTTGCCCAACTTACTAATCACAATGATCACAATGTTCGGCATGTTCCATTTAGTTTGCAATACAACAATATATTAGTTTTGTTAATGTTTTGCTCATCAACTATATTCAAAAACAAAAAAAGTTATTTATCCTAATAAGCCAAAGAATTATCAAGCGAAACCAAGGCAAAATCAAATAATAAACTTTGCTAATGGCCATCAAACATATCAACAAGGAAAAACTTAGGTTCACTTTAGAATGTGCAATTGACTACTCTGAAATTTTTTACAAGATGATTCTTCGTTTTTATTTTTTTAATATTATAAAAATCTTTTAAATTTTGCCCTATTTACCATAATATATGATATATATATATATACTTACTAGTTTCTCTAAAATTAGAGGAGCAGTATTTTCCCACCCTCAATTAAAAGACCAGTTTTGCCCCTATAGCACAACAACATTTTGAGTTATAACTCTATTTGCATAGAATAAAATTTGTATTTTTATATAAAAACAATATTATTCAAGAATAAAAAGAACTTAAAATATAGATTTCTCATAATTTCTAAGGTATATTCTAGGATTTTAATAATCAAATTTATACTTTGTGTAAAGCTCTCATCAAGCAAAATATAATAGAACAGAATCTTATTCTTGCCCAACTCATTCAGCAAACAAGTAGAAATTTCTTGTTCAAATTCGGCTTATGCACTCAACGAACTTGTTCAAAAAATCTAGTTTTTGAAACACACATATTCAGAATTATTGTAGCCTTCAGTCGAGACTAACCTATGAAACAGAGAGGTGAAAAGGGACTTACGCCAAGAAGGAAGAAGAGGAACGGCGCTGGCCAATAACAAGCAAACCAACTCCGAGTCTCTTCGTCTGCTCTAGAATCGTCGCAGCTTTCTCCCTCCCCTCGATCTCCACCTTCTCCACCCGAACCCTAGCCTTCGGCAGCACTGCTTCGCATGCCGCCCTCATCTCCTCCAAGAACTCATACTGCCTCGCATTCCCCGACGCCGCCGACACTGCCGATGCCGCCGAAGACGAAGCCGAAGCCGGAGACGACGCAGTCGGCTGGAGTTTGGCGTCTCGACGTGGAGAAGAATGAGCTCGTCTTGTTCGAGAATGGTTTTGGTGAGGGTCCAATGCAGGGCATCGGAAGACGCGCGGCTGGGATCGGCAACGACCATTACGCGAAACTTGGTTGGAGGGGAACAGCGACAGATGCCTGCTGAAGCCCAGATGGACGGCGTCGACGGCTTGTTGCCGCCGGCGGGAGTAATGGGGGTAGTAGAGGACATTGTGGTGAAGAGGACGGTTGAATGGCGGCTGTGGGTTTCTCAAGGGGAAGGAAGAGAGTGCGGGAAGGTTGTTTCGGGAATCGGAATATCGGGGCCGATTTGCCCGTTCAGAAACCAATTTTCGGTTTTTTTCAGAAACTCAAAAAATCGGGCATATAATTTATCGGGATTTGAGTACATTGGGCGAGGCGGTGATTTTAACTCTAAAACTGTTTATTGTTTCAAAATTACTTCGAATTTCAGCCCTCATCGGACCGAAATAAATGGGTCAAGTTATCAATTGAAATTTTAGATTGAATTTTTTTCGAGCAAATTTTTAGGCATGTGTAATTTCACTCGAACTCGCTCGGGATCAGCTCGACATATTTTTATTTATAATATATATTGTAGTATTACCCTTCCTTAAAAAAAGGTAGTACATGATATTTTTTTTATTTTTGTAATTGTGTGTTCTGTTGGATACCTCATCGACTGTTGGATCTGTCGTTCTAGGGTTTTTCACTCGGAGAGTCGTTGGATTCAATTGGTCGTTCAGAGGGAAATGTCATCCTTAGTAGTTCTTCGTTTGAAGGGAAAAGTACTCCTTCAGAGCCCTCCAATCGGAGGGAAAAGTGGGTTGAGGGTACCCTATCTGACGGGGCCTGACTGTAGATTGTCTCGAGATTTGTGTAGATCATTATTGAGTATACATATTAAATTTCTCAATTTTGTCGTTCTAGGGTTTTTCACTCGAGGGAGTCGTTGGATTCAATTGGTCGTTCTGAGGGAAATGTCATCCTTCGTAGTTCTTCGTTTGAAGGGAAAAGTACTCCTTCGGAGCCCTCCAATCGGAGGAAAAAGTGGGTTGAGGGTACCCTATCTGACGGGGTCTGACTGTAGATTGTCTCGAGATTTGTGTTGATCATTATTGAGTATACATATTAAATTTCTCAATTTTCTTGTTCATTAATAGCGACAACTGCAATAAGGTTAATAAATTTTACAAAGTAAAAAAACCTTTAATACATAAATTGACATTTTTTCATGTTTCGCAGTAAATTGAATTTGATACTCGAAATTAATTGTTAACTTAATTGCTCTTAATTTCTTCTTAAAATCTTATACAGCTTTCCTTGCATGAATCACACCATCCATGATTTGTTGCAGAAGAGAAAATGAAATAATTAATGAGCTTCATTAATTATTTGATTAATTCTTTAATGAGTCAAATGGTTTGATGGAATTAATAAATAAACATGCTAGCTCACCTTGTTATCTCTATCGGGATTTGGTTTCTCAAGCTTTTTCTTTGATGGCTGCTCTCGAGAGGAAAGAGGAGTGGAGATATATATATATATATATATATTATTTGTAATCGTCGACGGTGTGTAAATCCTCAGTTAATAAAATCCTCTGCAGCTTCGTAGACGTAGACAATTTGTCGAACCACACAAATCTGTGTGCTCCGTTGTTTTCTGTTTTGCAATTTTCTCTCGATTCGATTTTTCGTTTTATTGTCGTCGTTTTTAACAACACTTGATTTTGACATTTTTATTGTCATCTGACATTGATTTTGTCATTTTAGAGTTTTTCAATTCATGGATAATTCAAATTCCAGTAGCAGGATCAAGCAAAAAGGTTGGTTGTTGGAGGAGAAAATCGACCATCTTCTTGAGGAAGAGTACTAGAATTGCTTGCGCTAAAGAGTAGTCCTAGAGTCATTCACCCCGAAGTGGAGTCCAAGAGCTGTTCGCCCTAAGATGGATCCCTTGTTGCGAACTATACACCAGTTGATGTGGTATATATATATAAATCAAACAGGAGAACGATAAAAAACGAAGCGAAAAATAGAACGAGAAAATTTTCACACCAAAAAAGAACACACAAATTTACGTGGTTCAGCAAATTGCCTACGTCCACGAAGTTGCAGAGAATTTTACTACTTGAGGAATTTACACCAATCGATCACCTCGACTTACAAGAGGAATCTCTCACTTCGTTGCTCTCTTTTCTTCTCTATCTGTTCTTCTCTCTATACACCGAGATACACCAAAGAAGCTCTACACTGAGATACACTGAATAAGATAAACTTATAAGAGAAATAAACTCAATTTCTCTTCTGCAACAAGTCGCCAAGAAGAAACCAAGGGAGAACAATCTTTTTTTTCTTCATTTTTCTTCCTTCTGCCAAGCATGCACACACTGCTTGCACTTTCCTTCCTCTATCCCGAGGAAACCTAAGAAAAAAACACCGTGACTTCTCTCTCTGAAGGAGAGCCGTCTGAAGCCTTTTATCGCGAGTAGGAAGTGGGAGACATCAGACGAAATGAAGCTTCACTTCGCGCGCGTCGGAGCAGTTTCGCGGGCGGACTGGGCTCCATACTTAACATCCCTCACGAAGCTTGTCGATTTACAGGTATTATAGGAGGTGTGACGATCGGGTGAGAAGCTTCGCTAAACAAGGGGCGAGAGCGGGAGTCGGGTTGGGCGGACTGGGCTCCATACTTAGCATCCCTCACGAAGCTTGTCGATTTACAGGTATTATATTTTTTTTTCTTATTCACCCTTCGCGGAGCTTATCGCTTTCGGATGTTAGATTTTCTTGCATCCCCCCACGAAGCTTATCGTTGTCGGGTGTCTGATATTTTTTGCACCCCTTGTGAAGCTTGTCGTTGTCGGGTGTTATATTTTTTTTTTGCACTCCTCATGGAGCTTGGAGTTACAAGGTGTTAGATTTTTTTTTTTTTTTTGCACCCCTCTTGTCACTGTCGGATGCTATATTTTTTTTGTGTCTATGGAGGAGCTTATCGTATCGGATGTTAGATTTTTTTCTTGCGTCATATTTTTTTTGCGTCTATGGAGGAGCTTATCGTATCGGGTGTTAGATTTTTTTCTTGCGTCTGTCTTAGTGCTTGTCCTTGTCTAAAGTTAGATTTTTTTTTGCACCATTCGAGGAGTTTGTCGTTGCAGTGTATTAGATTTTTTTTTTCTTCCCTCGCTAAGTTTGTCCCTGTCAGGTATTGGATTTTTTTTTTGCACCACTCGTAGAGTTTGTCGATGTCATATGGTTTTTTTTTTTTTTTTTTTTTTTTCCCCCACTCCTCGTAGAGCTTATCGATGTATGGTGTTAAATTTTTTTCTTGCCCCTTCGCTGAACTTGTCACTGTTGACTGTTAGATTTTTGTGCATTCTTCTCAGAGATTACTCAGATTCTAGTTCCCGAGTGTTAAGTGATTATCTACATGCATATACTCCTTGATCTCTCCAAATCTTGACCTTGCTCTTTCCCATAAAAATATAAAATATTTATCAAGCACATGTATCACAAAGTAAGCTTGAAGAAAATAAAATATATCCATTATAGAAATATCAGCCTATGTCGGGTGAAAGATCTCAATAGCTATGGTTTAATTTCTGTGTAAAAATAAAATAAAATAACATAAAACAATATATCAAGCAACATACCCAACCCGCAAAAATAGAAGTATATACATACATCCATATATATATACATACATACATATATATATGTGTGTGTGTGTGTGTGTGTGTGTGTGTGTGTGTGTGTGTGTGTGTGTGTGTGTGTGTGTGTGTGTGTGTGTGTGTGTGTGTGTGTGTGTGTGTGTGTGTGTGTGTGTGTGTGATCTCTAGGCTTCAGACTTCCTCCATGGCTTCAAACAGGAGCGGAGCAGCTGGCCGGAAAACTGGTGGTCGGCCGAAAGAAAGTGGCTGCTTAGTGGAGATGTTGTCGGTTGAATAGCAGGCGGACGATGATCTGAGATGTCCGGTTGCCAAAGTTGCCGGCTGGAGAAAATAGATGTTCGGCCGGAGCTGCGAGGTGATCCGCCGGGCCTCGAATCTAGGGCTTGGATAAAGGTCACCATTTGTAATCTCTGTTTAGTGAAGATGAGTACTATCATTCCATCGATGTCTCTGACGGAGGGCGGAAGATCGTTTCCACGGCCTTAAAATATCTGATAAAGCCCTGTTCTTTCACCCGAAGATCTCATAACAAGCTGATATTACCTTCATCCCTGATGTAGTAGAAGAAACAATGCTTATGCTCCAAGGTAAAATTGTTATTTTTTTTGCAGAAAAATGTGGTGCAAGCTGGTTCAAATCCAGGGGGAATGACATTTGCTTTTGAGCCATTAAAGCCTGAAAATTCCTTGCAACGTTCCACCAACTGTAGATGATGATTTGAGATTTCTATTGAATAAGAGGAGGGAGGGAGGTCTTCTTCATGTTATATTGTATGTGCCTATGTTTTAAGTTGTAATTATGCTTAATGTATTACCTATAATGCAGCTCGACTTTCACTAGCAATCCAAGTGCTAATCATCATGTTGTTTTAGCTGCTTGGTGCAATGACCCAATGAATGAATCAAATTTCTATTTTGTGCAACTTCTTACAAAAAGAAGTATAAATTTGACACATTTTCTCATCTCACTGCTACATTCCTTTGCAGGATGTGCCAGTCTAGGCTAACCTCTTATTCAACTAATCCAGTCCAGCTTTTAGTTTTAATGGATTGTTCGGCACTTCTATGTGTTCTTTGACTTGATCTTTGCACAAAAAGTTTGTGTTCAGAACATTAGACATTAGCTTGGATCCATAAGGGGCACACATGAGTTGGGTTGAAAGTATTTAAATACTCCAACGACAAAGAACAAGATATGGGGCTGCGACGAGAGGCATCGGAGGATCGACCAACGAGGTGGCCGATTGGTTGCTATGGTGGCGACCGGCAGGTGAGTCGGTTGGCCGTTGGAAGAGGGTTAGGAAATTGTGAGAAAATAAGCCAACACAATAAAAAAAGCTCCTATGATAAACCATGAAGGAAAGTTCTAAGAAGAACTGAAAAATAATGGAAGACACCGAAATCCACTTGCTCATTTTGTCCAGGAAAGTCGTGACTAGATCGGAATGCATAGCTATAGGAATTTTGTGATGCTCTAGATTACCAGTTGGATGTGTGGATGACCAAGCTAGCCAGTCGACAGACGCAAGGCACGGCATTTTTTTCCGTCGATAGATAGGTCCAAGTTTCGATGTGTTCTTGTGCGTAGTGGCACCAAAGGAGTTTCGTCATTCGAGTTCCCCATATGTAATCTTTGCTAGGAGTGCTTTTGTAAAGAGTTTCTCATTAGTGTTGTTTGCCTTCTTGTTAACGGCGGCACGATCGAGACTCACCGAATCTTAATGAATGTTAAATCCAAATCTAAATAGAGACTTGGACCGAAGAAAGAGAGAGAGGGGGGAGAGGATGA